CAAAAAGTTTGTATTTGAATAGGTATCAACTTTGGAAACACAGAAGGTCAGACTAGAGTGTGTACATTAACGCTGATGGCACTAGTTGTCTGTAGGTAAATGGTGTTTGATATACGGGTGAATGCAGATAAAGCAGATCATATTCAGTCTACTGCGAGCAAGTCAACATGTTGAATATGTTATAAGGAGTTCAAAATGGTGCTTTAACATTATGTATGAATGAGATTAAATGTTGGAGGTCAAAGACATTCTTCTTCTTTCTCTTTGTCTCTTAACTTTCACTCATTCGTCTGGTCTCCAGTGGTCCAGGCAACGCAGTGCAACCGGTGTCCCGAATGTGTATTTATCGTGTGTTTTCTTAGTGCCACGCAGTCGTCAAAGAACGTTTTTGAAAGATTTACAATACAGTCATTTCCAGGGCATCGCACTTCAGCTTCAACCAGCGTCCTCTCAATGCCTCCAAAGCAAATGGATGTGCGAGGACTCAGTTGTAGCAGCTTTCAGCTTCAATGTTTCATTTACTGTTTCCTTGTAGCTCCATTACGCATTTATTTGAGGAGCATTGAAAACTGCTGTCCTTGAGGTTTATACAGAATACTTGTCTTACATAACACATTATACTCTCAAATACTCACACAGGTTGAAAGTATTTGGAAAACTGAACCTACAATCGGCAACAGTTAACACTCTTTCCATTATCTGCCCACAGGCGCGCTCCATTATTGATTTTCTAAGTGCAAGATGAGCCTCAGGTGACAGAGAAACTGTGCTCCATGCAAATATGTCTGTTTGATAAACAACATGCACTCTGGTACTGTAGGTGTAAAAGATGTCTGAGATCAGGTGCAATGAGGTGATTCATCTCACTCAAGAGGGCTTTACAGCAGAATGACGCTGCACATACTGGAAATCCAATTCATAAGTTATGTCCAAGTTTGACTCCAGGCCGAAGTGAAATGATCAAGCTCCCCTTTTGTGTCATTAAGAGACTCAATGCTTCGATTACTACTTAAGGTTTTTAAGGACTGGCTGATGCCATGTGACAGTTCTCCAGTATAAGTTGTTGGCCTCAGCCGTCAAACATCGGTAGCCGTTTCAGACTACAGTTTTGACGATATTTCTGAACTGCGTGGCAAAGTCTGTGGAAAGTTGTTGATCAAGTCAGATCTGGAAACAATATGTCCTCTATCTAAGGGCTGTAATGGATCATTCTTGAAAACCCTGTCTCTCATAAGGGGAGGATGATTACTATCATTACTCAGTCAAGCTGCCTTTGCTGACAAGAAGTGGGAGGCACTGTGGGTTAGTCAAATGAGGAAAGATAATTAAGCTGGGTCCATGAGAATAAGAAGGTAATAAAGAATAACAAAGTGTAATATTGTAGAATGATTAGAGGAATGTTAATGATCTCAGCCTGGATCGTACATAGACATTTTGAACCCAGAACATAAGTAATGTAATGTCGGAAAACTAGTCGAATGGAAATGAGGTTTCATGATGAAAACAGATATAATATTGTCAAGCTTCAACTGAAAGCTAGATCACACAAAGACAACATGGAAATGAGTTGTCTTACTTGATGGTATGTTCCCAGATTTTGACGGTCCAGTCTGAACTGCAGGAGATGAAAACCTTGGGGTGGAAGTGGTTCCACTTCACTGCATCCACTGCCATGCTGTGGGCGTTATAGGTCTCCAGGAAGTGGCTTGAGTACGTCTTGGAGCACTAGGGAATACAGGAAAAGTCTGGATTTGGACCAAAGTTGATTTTATAAACACATTTTTCTTTCTTAATATTTGACTGTTTACATTACATTTGAATTTGGCTGATGCTTTTATCCAAAGCGACTTACAATAAGTGCCACAACCATAGAGATTCAAGCTTGGAATTGGAACGTTGTGCTTATTTGTTGTAAATCAAAGCATTATACAGGTATTCAGTAACTGGTTGTATAATAATTTAATAAGCTCTTAACTAACACGCCAAGTCTAAAATTACATTTATTTTTCTGGTTCAGCTTAATGAATTATTGACTGTATCCAAAATGTTTTGGTGTTTATATTATAATATATTTTATAACGTTTTTTGCAAAATCTGAGAAAAATTGGGGTCTACATCAATCTGACTTTACAGGGGTCCCTGCAGTGCCACATAACACATTATACAACTATGTTGACAAGCAGTGATAAGGACATGAGTTTAACATTTGTGAATGAAGGAAACACTTCCATCATCTTTTTTCTTAAGAATGTTTTATGTATCTGGACACAGGACATTTCCCCACTGACAGCTAATGGAAAAAGTATTTTGGTTAAATAGTTTATTGTTGTTCAATGTTAAATAACCCTGTACATGTTCACAGTTTCTTTCCTGTTGACATATACTGTATATGAATGGGACAAGTAACCAGTTGGACAGCTTGTGGGCACAGCTGGGGCCCTTTAAGCACTGACAGTTTGATTGTTGATCTGCAGGGAGGTGAAATATTCTTTATCTGTCCTCTCCTGGGGTTTCTGTGCGAGTAAACCTTGAGGTGACAGACAGAACATATTTCATAACACATATTGGGTGTTTGTCTGCAAGGAGGGTTAGGTAAGTTTAGTGATTTGACGGGAGTGCAGCAAAGAAGGCGTTTGTCGATTTAGGATTTTAGCACGGATTAAAACAATGAATTGATTTCTTAAACAAGGTCGGGCTAATCATTTATGATTACTTTATTCAAGACTGTGTGATGGTTTGTCAACGATTCATCGTATCTGTGATGCAATAACAAATCTTTTCCTAACAAGATGTATGGTTGAGAGGTTCCAGTATATTTTAGAGGATATTTGAGAATATTTTGGTGTTCATCAGGTTATTATCACTATGATTTTAGCCAGGATAATTACCACATGTATTTTCACATCAGCCCATGTTGAGTAGCTAAGATACATCCATCATAGGAAGTAAACAAATCAGTCTCCTTCATCACTTGTGACCTCTACTTAATCAATTTCTGCAAGGCACCAAGCCAACAACACGCAATCAAACTGCTGTTAAGTGTCTGATAAAAACAATGAGTAAGATAATCGGTTCTCATTGCATTTCAGAGTTTCTAAGCCAGACAATTTAAGGATAATTATTGTCTGAAATTAGAAAAAAGTGTTTTTTACTGACAACAGAAGACTATTGTCTACTAGATATTTGTAATGGTGCAACACATTGGTGCTTTTATATGAAGTACAATGTCATCCATTGCAATGATAGCTCTTTTATATTATGTGATATTGCAGGTCTTTCATCTCGAACAGCGACCCTAAATCTTCTTATCTCTCAACCAAACATTTTCCCTTATAATGATGTGTGATGGTGGACATAAAAGCCTCGGACCGTTTGAAAAACATCAGCCACCTTCAATAATGTGTGTATTAGTCAGTGGGCAGTTTTAACAATTTTGTGCTATTAAGTCAACAAAATGAGGGCACGGTAACCGCACACCAATGAGGCTTTTATGAGAGTCTTTCTGTATACGGTAACAAAAAGATTAGGAAAAAAAGCAGAGAGGAGGTGGGAGACCAGCTGTCTGATGTGGACAGAGGAGGACTAATTAAACGCTTAATGCCAAGCCTCAGGGGCTCCCAACGCCACGCATACAGTAAGTGCACGTGCACATACACACTACTGCACACATACACCAACTTTTAAAGGAAACTTTCTCTGGAGTGCTAACCCAGCAAGATAAGTGCAACACAAACAAAATGAGCTCCGTTTTTCGGAGCAGATACTGGGAGACTGTGAAAGGGCCCAAGATGATCCTTATGTCATTTAGGGAGGGTAAAGAAAGAAAACACATCCAAGGGAAGAGGCTTCGTTGTACAAACTCAGCAGAATTCCTGTGATGAATTTTTGATGAAACTTGCCCTAAGCAACTAACTTTTAAAAAGTTTTTTGTATATGTAGTACCTTGTGGTCACTACAGTGTGACCATAAGATTCTACTGTTTTTTTTATCATGGATTCTAATGTCATTGTGCTAAATAAGATGGCAACGTGTTAGAAGATGTTGCCTTTAAGTTATTTTCTTGTGCATGACTTAGAAGATATGCCTCATACCAGTAGGGTTTTTAGATAGCTGCTATGTATAAGTATTTAGATGGCAGAGAGCAGACCTTTGCTTGGTGAGAGGAGAATTTGAAAGATTCTTAGGGTACATTAGAAGGTACATTATACATACTTAAAGTACATTAGGTCAGGGATAGTGAATGTTGTCTCCTGTCTGGAGTTATTTAAGAACCCTGTTTACGAGTCAACTTCTCACCCTTGAATTGACCCTCAGGATACGATATTGCTGGTGGGGTTAGAGCTGGTCAGATTGGAGGCAGTGGATGAAATAGTGGTCGTGGACATGAGGTGATGCACTTGTGAGTCTATGGGAAACTTCTGATAGCCTGTATGACCGAGGTGAGATCAGCAGGCGAGTCCCCATGTCAGCCAATAGTTGCTGAGGTGGTCCACAGGAGCCTCAAAGACAGTAGGAGAGGCGTCACAATACCTTAAGCTGGGCCTAACAATAAGTCAACTTACTTTTGACCATAAAGTCCTCCAGACTTTTGGCCTATTTGACTGTGTATTACAAATTCCAGACTTGTTTGTACTCTTTGTCTAGCTCCTTTGTCAGCGGTCATTCAAATGCACTGTGGGTAGCTCCACTGATGTGATGAATATTAATACAATTGCATCAAGTGTTGCGGCTTATTGTTTATTTGGTTCTGTTTTTAATCTTTTGAAGCTTTTTTTAAAAATCGGATTGTTATCCAGGAGAAACTAAATCAGTATTACTGTATAATATACAGTTTCAGGTGGATTTCATCTTTAATACCATGTTCAAGTAGTGCATTATTACCATGCTACATGGATTAGGAGCACATAGATTTCACACAACTGTCATTGAACAGGATTATTTAAAGCAAGTTTCAAGTCTCTGCTGAAATGATCTGATATCCATAGCAACCTGTGTGTTTACAAATCTATCTAGAAATCAATATAATAATGAAAATTATAAAAAGTAAGAATGAGCCTTTTAAAGTATGTAATAAAGTAAATATTGCAGTACCCTATGTTATTGTAAAAACGATGTTGTCCTGGTGTGTATGTTGTCATGCCTACAGGTTATGACTGGCATGTAATTTATAGTGTATTATAAGATTGTTCTATATTGTCAGTACTGTGTTCAATGTGAAGCGTCTTGTTATTATATCAGGAGTCATGTTGGGATTCTCTCTCCCCCCCTGGATATTTGACTGCCTAAATGAGTCACATCAACAACGGCCTAATCTTATTTTGGAAGTGGCTCATGTCATCCAGCAAAAACCAGCTAACTGGAATCGTAGATACATACCTTGTGTATTTTTCCCTCCTCTGTGCCAACAAGGAAGAGATAGTCGATCTGCTTATGGAAGTCAAACGAGGTACCACAGGCTGTGGACAAGAGGCGTCAGCACTTCAATTAGACACACTGTTACAGACACCAGTATGAAAGATTGAGTCAAATCTGATCTAATATCAGGTATTATTTAACGTGCAGTACTTTTAGTAGTCAAATAAATTGTATTATAAATGTGATGTTCTTAGATCCATGCATAAGATGACATGCTGAGTAACGGAGGCCTTACCGATGCCAGGCTGCTGTTCCGCGCCCTCGGAGACAGCAGCATTCAGTGACAGCCTGATAATATCTGTAAAGACCAGCTCATTCTGCAAGAATACAAACATACTGTGATGAAGTAATATGTATGGATTCATATATTGGAGGCAAAATAATATTACAATTATGCACACACGCAAATACAAAAATAATAAATTGCAAATGTGAACAAACACACAGGAACACATATAAAGAGTGCATCTCAAAAGTTTCATTATATTGGCATTTTGGTGAGACAACATGGAATAAGATAAATGGACCCTTAAAGGTCCCATGTCATGGCCATTTCTACTGATCATAATTCCATTGTTGAGGTCTACTAGAATAGATTTACATTGTTCAATGTTCCAAAATCACATTGGTTTCTCATACAGCATCTCTGTAGTATGTGTATTCACTCTCTGTCCTACATGCCTTGTTGGAGCTCCTGCCCCGCCCCCTCCCTATGAGCCCACTGTGCTCTGATTGGTCAGCTCACCCACTCTGTTCTGATGAGTCCACCACCGTTACAGCTGAACATCAGTGATTATGTGTTACAATGGGGTTTGTTAGCAACCAGAAAATGACACCAGTAAGGACAAACAGATGAGAATGCTGCGTGGGGTCTGGGTGCCGTGTTGGCGGGACGTTGCGGGGCTCGCTGCTCCGCCCTTTGAGGCTCGAGGAGCGGACAGTGTGAGGTGGATTACTGGTGTCGTTTCCTGGTTGCTGCGTGGGGTCTGCGTTCCATGCCAGCGGACACGAGCTCCGCGGTGTCTCGCCAGCACGGTACTTGGTCTATATCCAACAACCAGGGAAACACAGCAGGAAATCCACCTCACACTGTCCGCTCCGGGAGCCTCGCGGGGCGGACTCCTGAGCTGCTCGGGAGTCCGCTCTGAAATCTCCAAGGAGGCGTTCTGGGGCAGCATAGACAGGTCTTTTCTGTGTTAGAGTTTTACTCGCTACAGGGTGTACTTCGAGGGTTTGTGACTTTGCAGACCGTTTACATGCAGAAAAAGCTACATAACACACAAGGGGACGGGTAATAACCGGAAAAGCTTATGATGGGCCCTTTAATACTATCATATAACGGAAAATGTTATAGTGAGAATATATATGAATAAATACAAGGTTGTGGCTAACCTTGACTAGAGTCCAGGACACAACTCGTCCATCAGATGACACTGAACAGAAATTGTGGTTATTGTCCATGTCATCGCTCTGCCAGCGCACCTGAATGAAAAAACGAATAAATACATCACTGAAAACAAAAACAATTGTTGGTTTTAGTGTAAGGGAAAGAGGTTCATGTGGATACGAAAATAATATTTGAGTAAGAATTTACATTTTACATTCACATTTATGAGACATTCGATTTATTTGCCATCATATGAAATTCTCTTTTAGTGTTATGACTCCACATCGCAGCACGTTAGAGATATTTTACTCAAATTCCTCTACAAACTAACCAGGAATAGGTTTTAAAAAGTCCACGTAGATGCTCAAATGGAGACAAAGTAATAGAGCAAGGGTGGAAGTCCTGGTGATAAATATATACAAACTGAATTCCTATCGCCTCTCTCTTGTCCCCTCCTCTCACCTGCCATACGGGGTCTGTGTGCTTGCCAGTCTTAGCTGTACTCTTATACATAGGCTCCGATCCATCCTCCTTGTTGTTGTAGACAGCCACACAGCCGTCATAGAAGCCAACGGCCACCAGGTAGGAATGCTGCTCATGGATGTCCAGGCACAGGACGCCAGAAGGGGTGGGATAGATGAACTCTGGGTAGGCAGAGTTCTTCAAGGAGTAGTAGACTAGCATGCCACGCCCCTGCTTACTGAAGTCGTCTGATCGGCAGAGGGAAAGAGGAGAAGGGACCGGAGGAAAGACCAGGTCAAACACCAAATATGCACAAATAAAATGGAGGCAATTCAATTCAGGTCAAATGAAAATAATCTCAGAAATGTTAGCATTAGTGCTCACTCATCAATTCTTATTTTTATCATGCGTACTTACACGATCCCATTCCCACAGCAAAAAGGTCCTGATATTTCTTATTCCTGTTGAAGAAAGGATCATCCATCAGTCATCCAACACTAGATAGTGGGGCAGTTGCAGCTACTTATTCCACCCCAACAAATTATAAACATCATTCACATGAACATTAGCAGAGGTGATGAGCAAACCTACCAGCAGAGGGCAGTGACAGACAGTCTCTTAGCTTTGTCATATTGAAACTTCCACAGAGGGAGAAGGGTGCCCTCCTGGTCCCTGAACTCATCAGAAGCGTCCTCAAAGTATTTGAAATCTGAAAGGGCATGAAAGGAGGGCAGGAAGAAAATAAAAGGAGATAACAGAATCTGCAGCAAGCTGAATATCAAGTGGGATGCTGGTGTATTAGTCTGTCGCTTGTAATGTTTATTAGAACATACCTTGAGCTATGTCATCAAAAGAGTTCTGATTGACCATTCGCTCAAAGATCTTGGACGCCTTTCCCACTTTGGTGATGTCATCAGTCTATAACAGAAACACTGCAAATAAATACTTTACCTTAATAAATAATCATAGACTTATATGAAATGATGAATATGATGGTTCAGCTTTGCATGAGTCCTGGTTAGTCATAGCTTTGAGGTTTAGATTATAGGATTTGTTAAACATTAACGATATCTTTTAAGGCAATTTATGTGTGATTTCCATGGCAACAACATTAACCCTTGTGCTTCTGTTGAAAAGAGTTGTTTTGATGTCCTTTGTATATTATTTGACACTATATTTTATACTGAATTAAAACCTTTAAACAACTTCAACCCCGCATGGTCTCAATGCCACATATTCAATAATGTTCAGACTGCTAACTCTTTACAAGCTCATTTGATTATATTAAGTTACTTCTGCTTTTTTTGAACGAAAACAAACAAACAAAATGAATTAATTTCTATATATGAAATGTAAGCAGGATTCTTTTTTTGCCAAATTCCTGTACATGTCAAAGATTATAAACAACATTGATATCGATTCTTGATGATTTCTTTTGTTGACGAAACCCAGAACATAGCATGTTTTTGCATATGGCTCAATCTGGCAAATAGTAACGGTTTATTCAGATGTACCTTAGCTAAGATGCAAATATAAGACACAGATTTAGCTTAGGCAGGATGTTTGGTAAGCACTCAATGTACCTGAGTCTCCATCAGCAGCGTCTTCTTTTTGCCTTTGTCATTATCTTTCTTTGATGCTACAGCCTTCTGCTTCTCTTTATTTGTTTCTTGTTTCTGCAGCTCCTCCACATACGCATCATAGATGTCCCACTGCAAGAGAATAGAGTTATTGCAGTCATCCCATGTGAGCAGGTATACAGTATTCACAGATGCTCAAGAGTATGAGAACTGGGCTCAACAGCTGTATTACTAAAAAGTGAAGAGATCCAGTACCTGAGTAGCTGTGGCGGTGAAGGTGCAGCGTGGAGGAGGTTCAGTCTGGCAGCTTCTTTCCTACAGGAACATTTCAATGACTCCACGGAAACTCTTGAGGCAGTCGGTTATGAATATTTTGTAGTGCACACATCAATAATATTAGTTTTTGGTTACATTCCAATATTGTAAATAAGCTTATTTTAATGTAAGACATCTTAACTATTATACTTAATATGTGTTTTGAGATAAGGCATTAGATGCTCCTCTCTACTCCTTCCTACCCGCAGTGGGTTGTTGAGGGTCTGGGAGGCCCTCTCACTGAAGTTGAACTGGTTAGTAACTTTTGGCTCCTTCCTGTCGGTTTTAGAGGCGACACTGTCTGGTCTGTCCTCTTCTCCTGCTTCCTCCACTTCCCCTCCATCCTCTACGGGTGTATCCTGTGGAAATAAACAGGAGAAAGTGTGGAAGCTCAAGTTATACCGTTCACTTAATGTCCTTGCATCGAAATGTAGTTAAAAAGACCATGTCATACATTGTTTAAAAATGAATATACTGTCCAACAAAAACCACTACTAAGATTTTATCTCAACACATTTTGTTACCGATGTTTCTGGTTCATCCTCATCAGGTTCCACTCCAGTATCAACTGTTGCAGTTTCTGGACACATTGAAAATATGAAATCATAACTTCACTGTGTGGAAATTGAACACATCACTTGTTCTGTGTTAACCCTAAGCACGTCTTCATTTCTCCGGCACATGTTGAAAGTGACACCTTGTGGCACCTATAATGTACTACAACAGAGAGGAAAACAACTTAACGAGCTATACAATCACTCTGAAGCAATGTGGGCAGGTGTTGTTGAAGATAATCATTTACAAGCCTTGAATATCTAAAAAAAAAAAGTGTTACTGTGATCTGTAAACATAGAAGAGTATTGCAGCATGTTTCAGTAACTACCCTCAGGGAGACCCTCCTTGGCCCTCAGTCTACGAGCCTCATCAGAGTCTTCATGCAAAAGGCTGCCCTCCAAAACAAAGTGAACAGCCATCTGATCCACAGCACTGGTAGGCTTGTAGGAACGTTCCTGGGAGGCACAATATGCAATCATGTTACGAATATTAAGCAGAGACACCTGTTTTATTTTGGTTGGAAAAGAAGAAAATAAACCACTTAAACATTATCAAACACCTTTGAAACAAAACAACCCAGGGACATTGGTTTGGACAGCCATCTTTTAAATGTGAATAGCTCAGAGGGGAGCAATAATGTCTGCATTTCTCAGAAATGAATATGAGGTGGCTTCTGAATTGCAGTGTTGCATCTATAGTGAGTGATGTAAAGTAATAAGCCTGTATATAACTTTATTACCTTAAAGCTGTAGCGCACAATATTTTGGGGGGCATGTGGGTTGTTTGCAGTCAGGATCCTTGTGATTTCCTCTTTCAGCTCCTAAAGATATCATTATCGATAAAGGAGAGAACACAATGCACAGGTTACACACAACAGACTTATTTACGAAAGGTTTTAACTGCAAATATAAGAACCAAAAAAAGGATGTTGTAAACAACTGAATTAAGCAATAGCAGTAAAGTCACTGCCAATTCCCTCAACACAGCCAATATGGCTTTCCTAAATTTGAGCATTGGAGATCTCTTACAGCCTCAGAGAGCTCCAGTTGATCTGGGGGCTTAATAAGAGCTTTCCCTTGGGCCCACTCGTCCCATCCTTCGCCCGGATCCTCGTCCTCATCCTGTAATGTGACATGCAAAATAGATTTAAGTCTTGGTTAATTAAAAATTGCTTTAGGTTGCAATAGCACACATGTGTTTCTCATATGTATTCCCACTGCAGCAAAATGCCTAATTCAGAACTGTCACTTTCTGGAGGTTGCTCAGTATGAAATGCACCAACCTTTTTCTTGCTTGCTGCTTTGGTTGACTTAGCACCAGGTACAACTACCTTCTGAACCGTTGACCCCTGTGTGAAAACAAATAAAAACCAGCAAACTTAACAAATGGTTAGTTGTGACATTAGAACAATTGAAAACACGTTAGATAAACAACAAGTTCCTGTAACTGTACTTTGTATACTTTATTTTAGTAGCTGGTACATAGCATTATCACGTCGCCAAGTTAGCCAGCGTTAATATAAGTTAGCTAGCGTTACTAACTAGCTAGCTAAAAAAAGTTTGCACTTACCTTTCTCATTGATGCGGCAACGTTATTTGGCATTTAAAAAAGAAACCAGTTTACTGACTTGACAAACGATTAAGCTGTTAAGCTTTGACAAAACACAGCACAACTACACAAAGTAAAAAATAATCTTCTAAATAGGTAACGTCAGTTAGCTAAAAGAAACAGAACACTCGCTCCTCTACAGCTACCTGCTGCTGTATGCATGTTTCCAAGGCAACCTGCCGCCCCTGTCAGTCATTACAGAGAAAAAAGAGAGAAGAGAGAAACAGAGAAAACTCCATCCGTATTTTCAGTTGTTATCAGTGGTGGAATGTAACGAAGTACATTTACTCAAGTACTGTACTTAATGTAGCCTACTATTTAAGTCAAACATCGATGTACTTGTACTTTACTTGAGTATTTACCAGAGTATTTACCTTACACATTATGCTACTTTATAAATTCACTCCACTACATTTTGGAGGCAAATGTTCTACTTATTACTCCACTACATTTTTTAAAACAGATGTAATCACTTACTACTTTAAGGTTTAAGATTATTAATACAAAATATAAATTCTCTAATACAATGATAGGTTATTAATATTATAGGTTAAGCTACCCAATAGCATACAAATACATTGAAAATAAACCCCATAAGTGCAACAAGTGATGTAGCAATAATTATAATACAAATATATGGTGCTTAAATGGGCCATTCTGCAAAATGGTACTTAAAGCATGGACGTTGTTAGAAAAAGTGGTGGGGACATTTTCTCCGGATTTAACATCAGCATAGTAGAAGACAAATTATGTTCCTCCCCTGGGTGTTGAACCTTAGGCACCTCAAGGTTCAAGGTTCTTTATATGTCATACGAAAATAGCTAGAGTAGTTATGTCGATGAAAATCTTAGGTCACAGGCTTCTCCAACAGTTAAACACAATAATAACATAAAAATATAGTGCAAGTAAATATTAAAAAGTAAATACAAAAAGAAAAATAGTTTAAGAAATAGTGAAATAAGAGTCTATATGCAAGCTATTGGAAGGATATATTAGATAGTCTTATTGCCTGTGGGATGAAACTGTCTCTGAATCTGGTTGTTTTTGTCCGGATGCTGCGGTAACGCCTGCCAGACGGCAGCAGACTGAACAGTTTGTGGCTGGGGTGATGGGGGTCTTTTATAATCCGGAGGGATTTCTTCCTGAGCCGCTGGGAGTAAAGGTCCTCCATGGATGGCAGCTCCGTCCTGGTGATGTACTGTGCAGTTTTCACCACCCTCTGTAAAGCCTTACGATTGAGGGCGGTGCAGCTGCCGTACCAGGCCGCGATGCAGTGACCTGCATGATAAACCAATGCATAGACCTCTGAACCACCAATGTGTTCTTAAAACAACAAACGCTCAACTAAACGTCTGGCTGTGATGTGATTTTGAGTGAATTGTACCTTTATGCCCATAACGAGCACACAGCTGGAGGACAGAACATGACATGAGTAAAAAGTCAACAAGAGTAGGCCTACAGCGTACTTTTTGTGTGCATAAATTAGAGGTGTGCTGGAAGTGTAAAACAGAAGTTGGGACTTTCCTACATTGTATATAGGAATCTGCATTGATTAGAACTTTTTAGGTTAAAGTAGTGGAAGTCCTGAGTAGCTGGTCTGGCTCAGTCATCCCCGATCCTGTTTTGTGTCTGTTGGGGGACAGATCTCAGATGCCACATGTTTCGAAAAGAGCTTTCTCTGTTATAATGGTTGCTTTGATTACAGCTTCAAAAATTATATTGAGGCATTGGAGAATAGACAAGCCTCCGCATATGAAGGAATGGGTTAATGCTATGGCGGAGACATCATCCTATGAGGCTATGCTCACTAGGATGAAAGGCATCGCAAATGCTGAGGACAATCCTTGGGAGCGTTTCTGGATACACATAAAGGCCGACAGAGACTCTATTTAATTTGAATGTTTACCAAGAATTGCACACTTTTTCTATTCCATTGCTGAAATACCTAATTTTCTATTTTGTGAATTTCTTTTTTTTCTTGTTTTCATGCCATGTCTTTTAGGGTGTAGCGACAATGTGTGTTTGTTCTGAATGGAAAATTCAATAAAAATTTGAAATACAAAAAGAAAGAAACATACACAAAGGTATACAGGACTTTTTATGTTTTAATTTTCTTTATTATCTTTGAGAGTTTTAATGTTTTGATAAGATGACATGTCCTTGCCAGCCTAAAGGGGAAACCCCCTACCTCCAAGGGGAACAAAAAAAGTAATGGTTCGAGTCACTTCGAATGAATCCTGCCCTATAGCTCAGTGGTCAGAGTACACAGTCCATATCCAGATCAATGTGAGACGTGGGGTTGAATCCCCAGCCTGATAGAACATTTTGGGCAGTATATATATTTTTAAACATACAGTAACACATTTAAAAAAAGAAAAGTTGCTTAAAGAAAATTCAATAAAATTAAGCAAATGCAATAAAAAAAAATCCTGGATGCAAAAGCCTTTATACCTTAAACAGATGTTATCAATGTAGTAAAACAGGGGTAGTGTTAGGAGATGTTTGAAGGGACTTTGGTAGAACTTGACTTTATGAGAGGGACGTTATTTAATATTGCATTGCAGTCTGCTTACTATGACAGACACCAATTGAAATTGAGCTACACGGACTTGATGCTACAAGATGTAATGGTTTTAAAATTGTAAACACATTAATGGAAAATTAGAAAAGAAGATTTGTGTTGGCGGATGTATTTATTATAAATAAGAATGACACAATGACAATATTTCTTACATCTTCATAATTATCGTCTCTGATTGAATATACTTTTTGCAGTCAGCTGTCAGGGGACAGATCATGTGACCCAGCTGCTGTTTTGACAGGAAGAAATGTCCAAACTTCTCCTGTTTACTGTCGTATAAATCTCTTTTTTGAGGCGTGTAACTGGATATGTTTTTCCAGATATGTCTCCTTAACACACTGTCCGTTTATTCAGTGTATTAATGAGGATGTTGGAGAGCAGTTCCACAGAGGTGTGTGTGTGTGTGTGATGGCCGGGTTTCAGAGGGACCGCCTGCAGGGAATTTTTTTTGTACACACTGATTTCCTTACTATTTGCTAGCAACAACACCTGTATGTTGTAAAAAAAACGTTTCTATTAAAAGTTTACTAACATGTCCGTGTTTATGAACACCGACATTTTAATTGTATCAGCCCATGAAACCATTAAAAGCCATAAATAACTGACGATTACTTGTAACAGCGTTGTTTTTACTTCAGTTCTGTTGTTATCCTATATTTTTGAGCTGAGAGTACAGTCATTTCTGCTACGATTGAAAGAAAAAAGTGATGTATCATAGTAGCAAAAGGGTGATTATATTGGCTGAATAGACAAACACATGAGCAATGACACAACTATCTGTAATGTAAGGTCACAAAAATAAATATGGACTTCATTTGAAAACCTGGTATTATTTAAGTTAACATTTGTAGTGTGCCTATAACAAGATATTTGAATGTCCTATCATTGCTTGAATGTGTTTCATGCGCATTTCAATATGTTCTGCTCTGTGATTGGACAGACGTCTCATGAATATTCTATAGACCCGGAAGTGGGGCGGTACTGCTGTTTTGCTGTCGAGTCACCTCTGTCAGGATGGAGGAAAACGAACTGCTATTATGCTGAAACTCGAAGGATCCCAACAACTGAGCATCATCCACCGGGAGAGTTAGACACAAGTCATCGTTTATCTTCACTGCTGTATTTGTTTATATAACGCTTTGCCAAAAATGATGGAAGAAATCGACCGGTTCCAAGTACCTCCAGTCAACGGAGAGACCCAGCCTTTGGTAAGGGAGCAAACACAAAAACACATTTTATGCAAATTAATCTATTCAATGCAACATTTTTGTCTCGCTCGTGGGTTTATCGTTGACAGCTGTTTGACATAATCCGTGTTTGTGAGCAACCGATAAGCAATCTTCAGCTTCAGCACAAACTGGAGCTTTGGGATGGGTGTAGGTTGATATTGTAAAGATGGAAGGATAGCAGCTAACGGTATATCTCTTCCGACAGTGATAACATAAATAATACATATCATGGTTAAATAATAAACACGCCCTTACTTTATTCTATCATATACATTAAGCTACGCATTTGGCTAAAATCATTATTTATAAAAACAATCAACGTCACTATGCGCCTGTTTACATCAATATCTGACATAGTGGATTTTTTTTTTTTTTTTTTACATTTCGTCATTTGGTGACGTGTCATTTGGATCAGGATGGGAGCTGTGAGCCTAAATGGTCGAGTGAACAGTATATCTATCCACACCGATGCTGCAGACTGCAATCCTCAGGATGGTTAGCCCGAGCAGGCCCATAGTAGGGGAATAGTCTCCTTCCATGATTTATTATAGGACAGACATGCCAGTAAAATTAGACTACGGTAGACTGCAGCTGCAGCCAGTGATGACATAATCTGTGCTTTATTCCCGTGTGCAGTGTTTATAACATATATGTGTTTGGATGCTGGTATAAAATATGCCAAACCTGCACACTGGACAATATCTGAAATGAAAAGTCATGGCCGGCAATAACTTACTGAACCACTGTTGTTGTTCCCTTCCTTTCATGTTGAGTTGAGCTTTACCCATACAGCTTATAGATGACCATGGATCATTCTGACACACCAGCCTCCATACTTAAAACAAAGCCATCTCAAACAGCTGTCCCCCTTTTTTTTTTCAAGTGTTTGCCTTAGGGATTTAGGCAAAAGCAGAACTCCATGTTCTACTGTTCATTATCGTTCCCGTGTTCCCCAACCCTCCTAACCCCTGAGGCTAAACGCAGCAGATTTAACAGAAGAAAATCCTTCTGTGAAACAGAAAGTCTCCTTTTTAATGCAGCTGCAAATGCCTCTCCTTATGAAGATTTGATCAGTCTGCACTCATGTTTCATCCAGTGTGATTTCTGTGGAATGAAATCCAGTATCAGTCAGAAAACTCTTGATATTACAGAGTTTATTTCTTATCACCTCATGTAAATGTAGAGTCAAACAACAAAATCTTAAATGTTACCTTGCTTTTATGTGCAACTCCATCCTTTGAAACAGGCCCTCACATTTAAACCGTCTCTGATTGTGTCACAGTAGCTCTGGCACACATGGCTCTGCATTTGAATGCTAATAACTTCATTGTGATTCCTAAAACAGCATGAATACATTAGGCACCTGCCTCCTTGTTTTTCTGCAAATTTCACGCAAATCAAACAGCTTCTTTTGCAATTTGAGGGATTTAAATCACTGATATATTGTATTTTATAAAATACCTTTCAAACTTTAGATGTAATTATTCACTTGGTATTTCTTATTAACCTACACTTTATTAAAACATGCCCTTTTTTGCATTAAGCACAAGGACATTTTGAGAATGATTACTTTAGGCAACATCTAGAGCCCGGCTAACATTGTCATAAGGATAGCAAGCAGCTGATTTATTGGTCACCTGATGTATCAGTCTACACTGCTATTGGCCAGTGGTCGGCTGTGATGTATAATCCTAGCAATCGCTTGCTGTCTGTGCTGTGTCAGCAACCTTGTAGCTCTTCATCATCAGAGGCAGTAAAGGAGTTGGAGGACAGGCTGGTGAAACTGATACACTAAGAGGTCGTCTCATTTATATGTCTGTGTGTGTGAGACCATGAGCGAGCGCAATGCATAAGGGTTAAGGTAATGCATGTTAAAGGTCATAGCCACTTGCCTTGTTGGACTTTTCATATATTATAACCCCCATTGTGTCATCCCAAAAGTCGAAGGCTAGGTTATTATTGTTAGTTGTTGTCAACACTTGCGTACGACTTTCAAGGAACTATATGCTCTTAATATATAATCAGCCTTTTCACATTTTGGGTCTTTTCAACACATTTTGTGAGTAACTCAAAATAGTGGTGCGTTAGGACTTTTTTATACTAAGGCTGTGTGTATTGGCAAGTTCTAGCGATACATTATTTATCATGATACAGGGGTTACAGTTAAATAAATCATGATTACTTTAAGCATTTATCTATATACAGTTTAAAATATATATATATTTTAGGAAAAGCATCATAATATGAAGAACACACCACCTATTGCAATCACAACAGTGGGATTGACATTTGGATTTATCACCTTTCCTGTGACATCCAATATCATAGCTCTATTTTTGGTGCAAATCGAGATAAGTGATTAATACTGTCCAATTACCTCCTTACACAATACATATACAAAAATGAAAAGTGTTAGAAATTGTACAGGATGAGTAAACATAATATTACTACATCCTTATTGTGTATAGGTTTTTGAACTTTATTTCACATTTTAAACTGATATAGTGTAAGCTGTTTTACTCTAAGACGTAGGGGTGCACCGAATGGGAAATTCTTGGCCGAAACCGATACCGAAAATAGGAAACAGTTGGCCGAAAACCGAATGCCGAAAGGACGAAAATGATTAATAGAAAATATATATATATATATAATGTATACATTTTTTACCAATGTTGTTCAGCTACCTGATTATGGAAAAAGACATGATTATGGCAAAACTTAACTTAAATAATAATCACTATTATGGGTCCATAAAACATTTATTCAGCACTTTTGAATGCATACAGTACATTAATTCCAAGTCAAGTGCATTTTCTCTGTAGGATAACTAGAACAAAGTGCATTCAGAACAAAGCCAAGGTGCTTTAAAACTGCATAAACATCTAGGCCAGTAGGCCTACAACAAAATAGTGTAAATAAAGACTGTAACAGCCAGGCCTTCAACAACAACAAATGCACCTATAAGTTTGGTAACCTAACGTGTTGTTGTGATGACGTACTCAAAACGCGGCGACAAGCACGGCCCGCGACCATGCTCGCGGCTGGCTCACAGCCAACATGTCTGCCGCTTGGAGATATTTCAAAATATCAGAGAAAGAGGCGCGGATTGCGATT